CGGAATAGAAGCGGAATATAAAATATAGTTTGTAGAGATTATATCACTTCAAGCAAATTTAGATAATATATTGTGTCGGCAGATTTAATGAAAGCTCTTGTTGACTTCAATTGGGGATAATTATAAATTCATATGGAAAAAAATAAGTACACACCTTCCCTACCCCTGTCATATGGGTAATTAGTCTTTCACATTTGTACTGCGTAGAAAGCAATAATTTGATGTGATGAAAAATGACAGCTACTATATTCATCCCCGTTAATATCAGTGTTATTGCCCAAACTAACATTTTGAACCAAACATAGATTCCAAGCGCAGGTAAACTTCAGCGGGTTTTCGCAAAAAGTAAACGCATTTATATTATATCAACTCGTGCATTTTAAATATAAAATTGGCAAATTTATATTTATACATTTATTAGATCAAAGGATTGTTATTTCACATAGATTATAAAATATTGTATTGGAGCCTCACACATTCTATGAAGTACCTTTACATTTACAGAAAAATGTTGCTCGGTTATACGGTTCTCTATTGTCGATTGGTGTCTGAATATTCTACTATTCCTATTTTCGCTAACCACCTATACTTCAGAAGTTTAATTGCAGGCCTATACAAGGCATGTGATTTCAAATTGGATTTTTTTTAGGCTTGTTCAGATCGACTTATATGTAAAGTTAAAAAAACGGATGTGTATGATTTGCTAACAATACAAATGTAGATTTTAGTCAATGACACTGCTGTACTGTTGAATTATTCTGCTTTTTGGGATATTTATACGATTGAAGAGTCTATGTTTGTTTTTAACAAATACTGGTATTTAGTGAACATATCTAATGTGTAATCAGCTGTATCATATCACAAACCAGTTTATCTGTGAGGTTTTTGTAATGTATATATTTTTGTATGTATGTCTAGAAACGAAAGTCTATTTAAATGGTGAAAACATGAACAAAGAAACACATGTGCATGAATGATGTCACGCTTGGTTATCCTGCGCTACGCTGTGCTAGGAGGCTACGCTCGGTTACCCGAGAAATGAACAATATCATTTCAATTTGTGTAACGTGACATCATCGTAAATAAAATTGTATACATTTACAAAACGATTTCCCAACTAACCATTAATACAACGAATACAAAACAGATACAGATTACAAAGCCACCAGCGGAATCAAAACCGTAACATTTGCAGTATACGACAATTATTTTATTGTTTGTGATCATAATAGTTGGTGCGAATGGAGTGCGGTGAAACAATTTAACGATCTACATGAACATTATTCCCAGACTTCAAATATATTAGCATACAGACTATTTGCAAAAAACATAGTGACCCCACGAGTTAGGCTTTTTGTCCTTAAATATGAGCAATAACCATGCAAAAATGGTATCTTTAGCATGAACTTTATTGTAGTTTAGTGGGACTGCAATACGGTTCCTCGCCATATTTAATACAATGCCTTTTAAAAAGTATCCGTATAAAACAAAGTCAGACAATGGAGTCACCCTACTAATATGATTCGTGGGTTTGGATAATAAAGCATTATTGCTTTTAGTGAGCTGTGCGTGTACACGGATAATTCTGTGTCGAAATATATCGTTAAAATGCGTACACACATGTTCATAATTTTAACGGCTTTCGGGTTACCATGGAAATGATCGTTCATTTATGAGATACACACACGTTAACAAATAAATGAAAAGATTTCAACGTTTTATCCCAGTAAAAATACATCACAGGTGCAATTATTGGATAGTTTAAATTATTGGTGAATAACAGCGATAAGAAAGAAACCAATAAAATTAATTTAACTTCATTGCATTATTATTTATTCGCCGAACAACAAAATATTCGTGACTGATTTACCTATTTTATATTTAATTATTGTTTCAATGAAATTACTGATTTAATAGTTTTCCATTTAATTAGATGTCTTGGAAGCCAACGCTTATTAGGTCAATAATATTTCCTCTAATTTGTTTCTTTCTTTTTTTCAAGGTAAGCTTAATTATTGCAGTACTTTTCACAGTCACCTATTTAACCTTCTATTGCTATCAATTAGTTTGACGTGCGTGGCCTGCTGTGTTTCAATTGTCAATGACGTAGCGAATTTAATAAGTAGAAAACTGGTATATGAATGTCAAAGGTTATATTAAACGCATATTGCAATATGTTATATATATATATTGATACTCAGGAAACGTATTTTATTTAACGCATGCTTTGATCAAAATGAATTGACCTATCCACAATTGCGTTTATAACCAATAACACTCTCATGTATTTTCATAATGCTTTACTTGCATGTTATGGGTCACACTTCAGATGGACATTGTACGATAATAATTTACAGTCTGCGGTGATATATTAAAGGGCAGTAGTCGTCGCGCCGCGCATGTGCGACATTTGTGTTGATAAACATTTTCCCAAATCCAGCGCGCTTTTTTAATGAAATCACAAGTACGAGTTTTGTCCTGGGCGTCACTTGCACTAATTACAGCAAGAGACTCCTTCGATACCTTCCAATCACCCCAAAAAATAACAAATTAAAGCATTGTAACGTCCCAGTTTGTACTCGTCGGTGAGCGCAACCATCGACATTGCCATCTTTGTTTATACGAGACCCATATCTTGCGCATGCGTGGCGCGATGATCACCATGTCGTCAACGATTTTGCTAATTTCGGTGAAATGTCCCGGTAACATTAAAACGTCTCACTGTGAATTTATATATATATATATATATATATGACTGACTGACTGACTCCATGGGAAACAAATTGTTGTGGATAATAACTGAATAAAAAGTAATTCCTAAAATGCATAGCTGCCAAGCAGTGTCCCTACACAATTGTCGTGTTTATTTACAGTAAAATGCGGTTAACTTGTAACGATTGGTTGTTTATAGTCAAACTGTAATGGGAAAAGTATATATCGTTGGCAATAAGAAACTGCATGCCACTATCGCTTAAGAAGCAGTTAACCGTACTTTTAATACGATTCGTTATCAAACTAACTAAATCTGATAAAAACAACTACTAAAATGCATATCGATTGTAAGAAACATCAAAAGAAATTCCGATATCGATGAATTGTAGACGATTCTACAGCTACATATATATTCGAAGAAGTCATCCAACAGTAACTGTGTAACAAAACATGAACATATCAACATTAAATACAATATCTGGGGGAGGGGGGTATAACACACATCAATCTCTCTAGTAGTAAAACACTCATATACATTATGTGAAATGCGACATAGCTCATAGTATACCCTCGAATGACCCGTAATACATCACACTATGCAGTAATATACATCATACGTCACGCTCATGCTCATGCATTTATTGTTAGGACAGCTCAAAATGACCAAATAAGATAAAAAAATAATCTATAATATATAATATCTACAAACAGTGTTTTCCGTGGGATATTTAAATCAACACCACTTCAACATGCAATGGATTTTAGTTATTAAACGCGCTTGTGGCATCATGTATATTTCAACAGCCATGGTTAACACGAAAGTGGCGTCATTAACTTATCATTATCCCTACTATTTAACGCGTAATCTTTAAAATAGGGGAATAAAAAGTAACAAAAAAGAATATGATGGTTGAGTATAAGTCAACACCATGGGAGCCTGACATAGAAACGATTACTTCAAGTACTATGCTACGAAACCAATTTTCGTATATCTTTAAAACTGTAACGACAACATCATCAGTTGTCAATACTGCATCGCTGATACAAGCGGTCGCAGTTAGTATTTTTTTAAATCTAGTGCATTGGAAGAAAATAATGGTTTAAAATAGCTATTCAAATTGCCGTTCAATATGTAAATAGCGCTAAGGAAATATGTTTAGTTTTGCTTTTTGTTCCAAAAACAAATAACAAGTGTTACTATCCAATGTGTGTTTGTCATTGCGTGCGTATAATATATGCAAACGTTATTATTAAAATAGTACAATCGTTTATGAAAAAGGGAGGCCCAATTGATTCTGCATATTTAATTTCCAGAGTGTCAAACTGTTATTCATTGGAGTTCTAGTAATAAGTATAATTCATGCAAGCTCACACCTCTTTATAGGTCTATTAATATGAACAAAGTGTCCCCGCTGACACGTGATGTTCTATTATTATGCCTTAGATGTATTAGCGTAGTCTTTCTTTATGGAAATTTAATGAACTTCCGATACTTTGTAAAATCTACAAATTTTGTTGTTTCTGAAATAACCCTGATAGCTATAAAACTGAATAGTATTTTTAGGAGAGTGATTTTCTTATATGACTTTATTTTTTGATGGTGTGGCAATTTTAATTGTATTAGATTTCATCGATTTTTACTCATTTTCTTACACAAAGATCGTCTGTCTCGGTGTTACATGGGTTCGAAATAAACAAAACTCGTATTCCTTTTAGTACTCGGCGAATGGAGTAGACTCATCGCCTCCGCAAGAAGTGTTCCTATGTGAATGAACCCAACCATAGGCATATCGAGTAACACTCACGTCCTTAGAATGCCGTAAATAGAGCAGTAGCAAGCTGAAGTAGCGAGACGGGGATAACAAGTAAAAAACAGAATTGTAAATCGAAAGGGAAGCATTCCGATTATATTGGATTGTTTCACGCTTTATATAAGTCGAAATTAACCTTTATATAGTATCAGGGAACATATAATATTGTTTTCATTATATATATATATATATATATATATATATATATATATATATATATATATATATATATATATATATATATCATATGTTACGTGGTATCTCTATAATTCGTATTGTATCAAATCCAGGCTTTAATCTCTCTGGTCACCCCTCTGCTTTTATGAATGGAATCGTCCACGGAACATGTTACCGTTGGATTGTTCAGTTTACCATTTCATCTATTAACGTCTACATGTAGACGTTTACGTACAGCGTCTCTGGCGTCCTGGCGCGATCGCGTAACCGGGATTCAAAGTTACTCTGTCGACTAACATCATGGTCAATCTCCGACGATTTTGGAAGGAATGTGTTTTTACACTTGAAATTCTAATGTGTTTTATCTATGGTACATTTGTATTTGCGCAGGTACCGCTCGGAATGGAAGATGAAACAATTCTCGACTCGCAGCTTTCGGCATCGACGTTCACAGTTAATCACGACGCCACGAAGTCCAGACTCAGGAGTTCAGGACCCGAAACAGCATGGTGTGCCGGTAATTTGGACGACTCACAGTGGTTGGAAATTCAATTCCATGAACTTGTCACCGTGACAGGTATTTCTACACAGGGGCGCGAGGAGGCAGATGAATGGACTGAGACATACCGTTTGTCATATAAAACCTACGAGTACTGGCAATTTTACACCGACGATGGCGGCGACCACGAGGTAAGTACAATCCCCCATATATAGATAAGCTTTAACTGCAGAGGTACTAACTGGTCCTGGATGAACATTTATTGAAACTGAAAAACAGCCTGTTTTATATAGCCTGGCTTACATAATATTTGAATTACATGTTATAAACAACACCTGTAATGTAACAGATTGAGTGAAATTGCACAGCCAGGTTTTTTTTTTGTCACAACATCAAGCAAGAGAAAAAAATCCAGTAATGACAATACATTGATGGATATATAATTAAAATGTTCAGACCTGCATGCTGCTTGATTATCACCACCCCTCATGGGAATAATTATCCCCACTTGTGAGTATTTGAATTCGATTATTTGAATTTAAGAATATAAATCGCGTTGAAATAAACTAAAATTAACTTTGCTTGTTTTAGATAGTGTGGCTCTATTGTGCTTTCACCTAAAGATCTAAACTGAGATGAGTAGACACATATATCTGACGTAAGACATTCTAATAAGAGATTGTGCCTGATTGGCTAACCAAACCTAACACCTAACAGTCAGACCAATCAGAAAGCAGCTTTTTTGTTGACAGCTTGTTTTTTTTTCAATTGTGACTGTGCAGACTTAATACTCTCTGCTATGCCACTTATATTTACGGAATTGCAATTAATGTATGCTATTAGCTGCATCCCCCATTCATTGCATTGTTATGACACAAACTAGTCTGCACTCACACATAATTACATGCTTGGATAAGTAGAAGCAGGTCCTGGGGATTACCCGCTTCAGACTGGTATGCATAATTTGAATTATATCGCTTTACTAAATTGCATGCATACAGTATGTAGTAGTTGTGTATTACCCCCTCCCCGCAGGCACTACAATTGATATATATAGCTTCCATTCCCTTGGTATGTATTAGGTTTATTATACAAACATCCTTTTTTATTTAGAGACCATTCTGACAAAAATGTGGTATATAATAATATATATCATATATAAGTATAATCCAGACATCGTTCAAACAAGAAGGCATCATACTTGTGCTATGACTGGGCAACAACTCGTTACTCAGTTCGAAGTGTGGCCCACGTGTCTTGGCAGTGCATTGCACAGTAATTTCGAAAACTGTGTACAACATCGGTTAATAAATAACTGGAGTGTTTTTACAGAGACAACAACAGACGCAGCGACATTTCACGATTTATTTTATTTACACACGCAGTTGTTCATTAGCATATTCGTGAGAATGAAACTAGTTTGATTTGTATAAACAGTGGTGATATAAAAATATTATAAAACGCACGTTTGATTACCCGGTAACCTTATTGAGTTTTACGTATCATATTGCAAACTTGAACGTGATACCCAAACATCATACAATTGTATTCAAGGCATAATTTGTAATTCTACGTCATCTTAGACTATCGTGATTTCAATTACCCACCCTATATGGTATAATTATTAATTTAAATGGCTGAAACGTGAATCATGACTAATTATATGTTGATTATTTTGCTGTTGTTTTTACGATTGTTGAATATGGCGAGTGAGGCTGTCGATTAATTTTTCACAAATGTGTTATCGAATTGGTATGAAAAATTATCTCACAACGAGACTAAAATCGTGAATATAAAACTCAGACCTATTGTGTTTGAGTTAAAAAAATCAGACTCTAGATACACAATGAGAAAGATGCACAGTATACTTGAAACCGCATTTCATATTTCAAATCTACTTGGACAACACTAATGCGTGTATGTTGTGCTGAAATAAATATGACGTTGGTCGCATGATATTAGTTTTATATAACAGTGCGATATACAGCAATGCACGCATAACAAAATTGAACTGCAGTGACAGCTAGGTTCGCCATTCAGAATAGTTTATTTTGCAACTATAACTAATTACTCCGCATTACTCGAACTGCACACACCAAACATATTAGTATATTGTCAAATTGTTGACGGTATTCGCACATATAAATTCCAATGATACTGTAAAAGTGGACATACTTTACTGTGTTATTTTCTTATATGTTTAAATGAAAATAGCTCCTCAAAAACTCGTCAGAATTTCTAGAAATATATACAGTTTCATTGTAGAGATAATCACGAATCTAAAAATTTGAATCTAATTTTCCTATTGTAAACAAAAACATAAATTTGAATATTTTAATCTTAACTGCATGATTGCCAGCAGTACGTGAATAGAACACATTCGTATTTTCGCTTGTTTCTTGATCAACTATATTTCTCCGTATTGACTATTGTTCCAACTTATATTCGATATTAATTTAGATAAGTGTTCATACTGCTTCGGGTTATGGCAGTTTGTGTGGAGGTATTTATTAGTATGTTTGTAATTAAAATAGTTGAGACATATTCTATGCTCGGTGATATGATTGATAAGCTTTTTACTATAATTATAATGTCTGAAGAGACAATATTATTTATACAAACCAAGCTAAGAAACACTGATATAGTTCGCCGTTGTGGGAGTATCAAAGCTAAAGAACTATCCATTCAAACATAAAACATAGCACTTTTTAATGTTTGTATTCATTCGAAGTTAATTAGTAAAAGGATTAACGACAGTAATTTCCTGATAGTACCATTTATTTCACGCCCGTAAATTGTAGGACGAGCGTGAAGCTGTGATATAATATGTAAATTTGCTTAGCAACAACCTGTCTCCAAGGGTGAATCTATGATGCGTATTTCGGAATCTGGTTGTAGTACTAATGATGTACATGATTGCATCTAAATAAATGCGTTCACCGTCGGCAAGAATTTAGTATGCATTCCTCGGTAGGTGACTAAATGTACTTCCATAGTGATGTATTCCCAAGCAAATTTTATTATTTCCCATGGGTCATTTCGAAGTAGATACTAACAAATCTCCTAAAATGTTCACTAAATGAGAAATCTTAATTTATAAAAGAAATGTCGGCGTCATTTTCTACACGCGCAAAAAAAACTGTATGTGAATAAATAAATGTATCATCTTTTTCATTTTAACTGTGGTTGGCCACCGTTTTCTTTAATCGTTTTATTCGGATTAGTATACATGTATATTTGTGATTCGCAATTGACAACGTTGTCTAATATCTTTTTCTTGTGGTGCTGTTTGTAAAAAGGCATAATTCAATCAATATCCGACTCATTTACACATGACTAATTTTTTCTAGCAAAACTGCAAACTAACTGTAATTAGAGAAAGCACAATGGCATTTCATTCTGTTCATACTGGGAATTCGCAAGTATGTTTATTGGGATCATTTTCCAGCAAGCCAAGCATGTATATTGAAACCCTGTTAACTCAAAGAACAGTTACGTTGGTCTGAAAATGCATTAATAACAATATAGATAGATGTACTACTAGTGAGAAAAACTACGTCTTAGCTGCAGTGATGATTTTCGCTCTCAGAGCGTTTTAGCGGATATTACGTAACATGCTATATGAATTCTGAAACATTATCAGTATATTCAGAGGTACATTACTTGGGGTTTGCAACTCGTATAGTACTGTATGGTGACATCATGTCAAGATCCCATTCAAGTCTCTTCTCGTAGATAGCGAGACTGAGGCTACGACCTTCTGATATGACACATATCAATGTTCAAGGTTTGTAATGAAAAAATAAAACTTTTCTTGTCACTATCATAGTGAAAAATGTAATACATCGAAAATGTACAAAAAATATAGTTCTCGTAATCCGTCATATCGTGAGCAGCTATTTTGATCCACCTGGACATCCCAGTATCCTAGTTACCTCGGGCATGCGCATTCGCATTTTTCTGAGTTGGAACGCTTATGCGAGAGCGAGATTGTGACGGGATCTTGGTGTCATGTCACCGTAGTTACAAACCCCAAGTAATGTACCTCTGGTATATTATATTATAGCATTATCAATACCAGTGGATTTTATGACGTCATTGCAGCAGAATATTTGCGATAATGTATTACATTATTGAGCATCAAGGCCCTGTCCCATGGATATGAATACAATGTTGTTTTCGAAAACGAATAAAGAAGAAATTATTGAAAAAAAGAGAAATTGTTAGATAACAAGTATTTAATACGAAAATCGGCATCAAATAAAACGGTCCATAACCAATAACAGCGGATTTCAATA